GTGTGTGTGTGTGTGTGTGTGTGTGTATGTGTACATATGTAAGGCATAGAGAGGTCCAACAACTAGAGGAAGAGGGAGATCCTATGATCCTAAGCCTTTAGGCAAGTTGCCTTTGTAACACTTGGAAAAGTAAAGCACTCCTCAACATCAGGCTGTTCCATTTGGAGGGAGGCTACCTGAACTGAAGTTATTTAAACCGAGATCAAAGTACACAGTTTTCTTGTTCCGTAGAAAGTCATCTGAGAACTTAATCTTTCTATGGGGCACTGGTTTAACTGTTCCCTGCTCCTTCCCTAGCCAAGAAGAACCTTGGCACAGCCTTGGGAACGTCAAAGCTTGAGGACTAGGCAAAGACCAGAAGTTTCCTAAAGAGGTGATTGAACCGAGACTTTTATACCAGGGCATGAATAATTAACAGTAATGAGGCCTAATGCTCCGTGGCCAATAAGAAGTGGTAGTTCTAGTGATCATCCAGCCGTACCCCATAGCCTTAATGAAGGAGAGGTGAGGTCGGGGGAGCATGGCAATTGTTAAGAAATGTCGTGGGCTTGAACTGGTGGGGTCAGAGAGGCAGGAGGAAGCGGCTTTATACTGGCCCTAAGACACCCGGAATCCTGAGCTTTATTAATAGCAGGGGCCCCCAAGGAGCGAAATGTCATTGCTGTTTAAAAACCGCTAGGGCCAGGGATTCCTGTGTCACTAGACCTTTGGGGAAAAGGGGAGAAAGCTAGCAGCTGGAAGGTGGAGCTGGTTGTCGGGGGCCTTGGCGGGGAAGGGGAGGGGTCGTGTAACGCACTCTAGTTAGATGGAGAACTAGCAAAAAAGAGACCTCCACGCCTGCAGAGCCACTTTGTATCGTAGCTCTGAGGGTGAGAGAGTACTCTGAAAACCAGGGCCGTACTCGGTGCCAGCCTATTCATTTCAATCGGTATCTCAACGAATAATGAACTGAACTCGGCCCCAGAAAACGCTGCCCGAGAGCTTTCGGCAGCCTTCTATATCTGGCTACTAGTTCATGGCGTTCAGGGCATCCCGGAGCGTGCCTTTACCTAAATGAGTTAACAGGACAACTGGATTCTTTAGGAAGGGAGGGAGAGGTGGAAGGGGTGGGGGTGGGGGGCAAATGTTGAGTGTTCCGAGGTGACTAAATTTGCCTTGTTGAGCCTTGTAAAACCCTGACTTAATCATGTAAACTTCTGTGTAAGCAAAATGGAAGAAACTTCAAAGGGTCAAAAAGCCTTTAGGGATTTGTGCTGAGACGCCAGCAATAGATCCTAATCTGCCTTCTGAATTCTGGCTATATTTGTCCAAGGAACTGGTACCAGCAAACTCTCCAAGGTAGAGATAGTGGGTTGATTCAGCCTTTATCCCCTTAGAGAGTATTGGCTTTGTAAGGCTCAAGGCAGTGCTTCAATGCCAGGGGATCTATGCTTGCCCAAAAACCTCTAAAAATGAAATACAGGAGTAATTTGAGATAATGACTTTGTAACAGGCTTGGGCAGACCTTGGACAGAAGAAGTGAGAGATGTTATCACCCCAGCATTCCTCTTAAAATGCAGTTTTTCCCCCTTGCTTATTCCCAGTTAGTCAAAGCTACATTAACATTCCATCCAGGGCTGCTAAACAGAATCTTAATTAGTCCTGATACTCTTGTGCGAGGGGTTTATTCATTGCACTCTTAACTAATGGTTGCTGTCAGGGTATTTTTTTTTTCTCTTTGGGTTCTTTGGGGATATCGTGTTCTGCTGCAAAGCATGACAGAAATGTAATGTGCATGCAAAAAAAAAAAAAAAAAACTTGCAGATCAGAAATCTGGAGGCATAGGCTGACTCCAAGCCCTGTCTAATGGTGAGACATTGTTAGGACTAATGAGAATAACTTCCACAACAGATATTTTCCTGACTCTTGTTTATCTTAAAATTTAATGGTGCACTCTCTCTTTTCCCAGACAGAAAACAGTACAAACGCGTTACTACTGCAAAGCCTTGCGTATACTTGCCAGCTAAAAATCTGCATTGTCTGTGGCTGCTTAGGCAGCACCCGGGGTTTGCTATTTAGCGCCAGAAACAGTGGAGTAGAGAAATACTAGTGAGTTGCAACGGGACGGACATGTTTAAAGAAGCCTCACTCTACGCATTATGACGTTTGTAGTCACACATGCCGGTGTGTGCCCGTAATGGATGCTTGTGTAGGTGAGCAAAGATTTACACCTTTTCTAGTTAACAATTCTATTATGCGAAGCTTTAGGTGGGTGGTGATGTTAACTACTTGATCTGGCCTAGGTGCTCACGTAGGACTCAGTGGGAATGTCCCACAAGGTTATCTGCAGTTCGGAGACTGAGGAATAAAAGTAATAAACTCGTTGAACAATCCTTATTAAAAACCAGACGCGTTACAGCGACTCGTCATTTAAATGTTTGTAGGAGTAATCAGTTTCTCTCTCTCTCTCTCTCTCTCTCTCTCTCTCTCTCTCTCTCTCTCTCTCTCTCTCTCTCTCTCTCTCTCTCTCTCTCTCCCTCCCTCTCTCTCTCTCTCCCCTTTCTTCCTTTTCTCCCCTTCCCTTCTTTCACATGCCAGACTCCTTTCCATAAGCTTGCGTAACATTGATTACTCACAAAGCTTCCACAATAACTATCATGTAGCCAAACTAATTGAGACAATCATGCTAAGTTATAGTCAGTCTAAAGGTACTATTGATGTGGTAATGCCTATAGAAAATCAGACATGCGACTCACTACCATTTAATTACTCCCTTTAACCTGTTATTACTATGTTAACTGGCTTAAGTATATATTGCTGCCTTTTATTGCCTTGATGTGACAAATTAAAACATACAGTCTGGGAGCTGAGCTAAGTTGGTGAACAGAGTTTCAGAAAATGGAGCTGTGTGATGTCAAAGCTGTCAAACCGGATTCAGTTTCTAACCTGCATCCTGATCTGCAATTCCGTTTGCTTTGGGAGGCTGGGATTGGGAGGTTGGGGTAGGAGGTGGAACAGGAGGAGGAGGGGACTAGAGAAAAGAGAACAGTTTCACCGAAGAAGGGATTTTAATTGCTAGGGTAAAAAATATACGTGCTTTGAACTGGTGTTTGGGATTAGCTGTCACAAACCTGGGGTTTAATTAAATTAACGGGCTTATGCCAAACAGCGTTAAAGTGGAGGAGGTGTGTTTAAGAATTTAAAGAACTGAGCAAACTGTTTGCGTTGGGAAGTTAAATAGTTAACGTGTTATTCTTACATTTATCTTTGGCCTGATGTATTAAACAGTCACCTAAAATCTTGGGGAATAATGTGAGTCGGTGATTATTCCTGTCTTCACACGGTTAGTACTTTCCAGCTAATTAACCTTCATAAAAAGGGTCTTTCGAGTTATTAAGATATATGGGTGGAAGCGGTTTACTGCAGAAAGTCTTAATTATTCACACTGAAAGGTGTGTTTCCAGTATAATACTAATTTCTCCCCATATCACTCCACCCCACCAAATCCTGGATAGCCCCAATTCAAAAGTTTTTCTCTATTTCGGAGTTGTTTCAAGGGAGCATTAAGCGGCACAGTTAACGTGTTTACCTATTTACCACATCACCTATTTAATCCTTCAACATGAACGAACTTCATTTTTTTAAAACACATATCCATACTCCATTCAAAGAGGACGGGTAGAAAGATTCACAGACATTAAAACTGGCGGTTTCCCTTCTACAAACCTTCCTCTTACCTTCCTCCTGAGTCTGGGAAAGGACACCTGAGAGCTCCAGTTCCCTCATCTTCAACTACTCATACTTAAATGATCTTGAAGGTATTAGGGATGGCCTAAAATCACCCTCCCCTTCTTTTCTCCTGCAAGAAGATGTCAGAGGTTAAAATGTTCACTTTGCCCTTTCTCTTGATCTTGAAGAGAGAGAGGAAAAAAAAAAAAGCAAGAGCTGCTGGCACCTTTATGGGACTCAGACCTGCTGCTGCTCTGAGCAGTTCCAGCCCCACTAACTTTGATCAGCCTTATTAATTCCAGCTGCGGTCTATTTGTTTGTCATTTTTCCCTTTTCCTCTGGAATCATTATTTATGGCAGAACGCGAAAGGGGGAGGGCGTGCGCTGCTAGAATGAAAGGGAGAGCTCTGCACGACCTGAAGGAGGGAAGGTTTGGTCCGTGTATTTGTTTGGTTGCTTAAAGGCTAGGGAAAAGTAGGCTTGAGGAATGTAATCTACACCAGGATCAAATCATTGCACCAGAGCATTAACTAATTATCAGATCAGGGAGAGGAAAAAATAAATATCCCCCAAAATAGCTGAAGGTAATTATAACTGTTTATTACACTAATGATTAATAATTGATCAGAAGTTATGCACAATAAATTGTCAATTTATCTCTCTATAAGTGCATGCCACTGTGTGGGCTTTTGGTGTAAAGAGGGTGGAAACCTGCTCACCTTTGTAAGACTAACTTCAAATTTTGAAAATAATAATAAATACCATTTGGTTTTTTTTCTAAATTTATCCAACAAACCCATAATTCCCGACATTCACCTTTTAAAATCCATTCTTGAGGGTCAGAATGAAAACACGGAGGAAAACAACACCCCCCCCATGCACTTTCAACTATTTGCACTATCAGAATTGAAAGGGAAAAAAATAAAAGCAAAAAAAAAAGCACTGAAAAAGTATATCTTAACCAATTTCAGTTCATTAAATCAGGGTCATCATCCAAATCAATAAGATGTATTGAGTATATATATTTTTTCCTAAGAAAGACACTGCACACCTTGCCCTTTTGATAACCAAAAACACCTATCTATTCTTCAGTCATTCCAGTAGGACAGACGGTAAGGGTAAGCAAGGATGACCAAGAGATACCTGGTCCAAACTTCAAAACTGGAACTGTCAGAACTGCTTCCTCAGTTATCAGAAGCTGTTGTCTACAATAGTACATACCATGGTGCAGTGGCTTTTATAACCAAAAAAGGAGATTAAAGGTTTTCAGACTCTCTCCAATAGTCAAGCTCCAAGAAAATGTTTTTATCTACTATAGATGTAATATGCAACATAAAGAGGATAGGAAGACAAGACAAGATAAAGAGATGTCTATGAATCATCCATTTATATTGCTCAGAAATTACTTTCTCCTATAAGAGGGGAGGGAGGGAGAATCCCCCCCCCCCAGGGTTGTCTCTACTATAAAGATTTGAAAAAAAAATATTTTTTCAATTGGGAAAAATTCAAATGATGATAATCATAACATTTACATATTATATTCAGTATACACAAAGGCACCTTAAAATATCTCTAGACTCATATCTCACTGGATTTCTCCATACTGAGCATGCTAAGTCTCCAGATGAGCGCTTCTGAACTCCAGGAGGAATGGAATAGAATCTGTTTATAGCATTCTTAATTTAGAGTCCAAAAGAGCATTTTCTTTGAATCATTCTAGGACACTTAGAATTTCTGAAAAAAAAAAAAAAACCTATTTGTATAGAAATCAACCTATTTGTTTAGTAATGATGGAGTGTAAGACTTTTCAAGTTTGAATTTGGGTGTTCCTGTAAATTTAAAAATCAGAATTGCTTTAACTCTTGCATACTCCTCTTGTAAGATTGGTTGATTGAAATTAATTCTGATTTTGAAAAAAAAAATACTGGTAACATACATCAAATGTTGTTAAAATAGAACACTGGTAATTACAGGTTTAGTCTTTGTTGTTCAAAAACAGAAATAACAAAGGACACACTTTATTTTCTATATATAGAAATGGTTCCTCTAAAACGTCCAATTTCTTTGAAGAAGCATGAACATTAAAGAACAACTAATTGCACTCTCTTCTTTCTTGTTAGGGAAGTCTCCATCTATCTGATACACAAATATGATGAAGAAGGAGAAAAAAGTGAGGCGATTCCAGGCCCTTGTTTTAATTCTCCAGAATAAAGGGATGTCTCCCTTTTCACTGTGCAGGTATGCACTAGAATCAAGCCCGTGCCCCCAGCCCCAGTATCGTAGCTGAGCTACGGCTGGGTCTGCTTTCCAGAGCAGTGCAGAACTCAGTCTGTCTCTGGTCTTCCCTTCCTCTCCCTTTCTCAGCTCCAATCAGACAAAGGTGGATAAAGTTCTTTTCAAGTTTCAAAGGCAGTTGGTAAGCAGCTTTACAGAAACAATAACTCTTTTATTGAGAACAAATGTTGACATTTGAAGGGAGCAAGGAAAGGCATAGCCCGAATGGGCCGAAGTGGAAAGCGCCTCTGGTGCTATTTGACAACAGCTCCAGTTCCCCAGGGATCCCACCTGAGATTAAAGCTTGCATTTCGATAAATCAGCTCTAATGAAACCTCTGGCCCTGGAGATGAGAGGGTTTATCTTGGCAGCTCCGAAGACAGGCACTCTTAGTGCAAAGGGTTGGGGAGGAAAGTTGGGAAGAGAAAGGAAGAAAGGGGCTTGAGGTCTTAATCCTCAGCGGGTGGGTTAGCATCCATAGGAAACAAAATGTATGTAAAAGTGTTTTTTTCTTTTATGGTCCACAGGTCTTCATTTCTCCTTTCTGGATTAATCACTTCCCACCTCAGCCAACAACTGCAAACACTGATGCTTCCCTCTGTCTCTTAATTTCTGTGATTAAGACCAAGAAGGAATAAACAGTCATATCAATTAACTTCTTAAATGCTTTTTTCTGCCTCTCCCTCTTTATTTTTCTTTCTTTTCCCCCTTTCTAGATTATTTGCCTAATCTAGATTTCATAAATAACATTAATTTCTCAGAGGAAGTGATTAAAAAAAAAACACTCTTTATGTTTTACATTTCCAGTGTGTATTTAAAGGCAAGTTCTCCAATTCTTTCTACTTTCCTTTCCAGAAAGAAATCCAGGTCTAACTGCTAGCAAGAATAGGTAAATTATGGAAATCTTTTGTAATTCCTTGGGTATATAAACATCAAAGAAGTATATTGGCCTTTCCTAATCTCTAACCCTGCTTTTGGTTTTCAGGAATTGAAATGTGCAAGAGAACCTGGAAACATGTGTATACACAAGCAGGAGAGCAAAGTAGGGAAAAGTATTTTTCCAAATAGGGTGTGTGTAATAAGGAGAGGCTTTAATTTCTAAGTTAAAACTAAGAAGGATTTTTTAAAAATACATTTGGCATTATATGGCTAAGGTGAGATATTGCCTAAAAGATTTCTAGTTTGGGGGAGGGACAATATTTTATAATAAATTTGATATTGGCAAATTTCTAAGGTAGAAGCTGAATTTGGGAAAATATTTTATTACTATTTCTATATATAAAATTGTGACAATGCCAATAATTTTTATCCTGTAACCATTTATTACATTTGTATCACAAGAATAAAATTCAAGTAGTCCAATTATTTAGTGAGAAAGTGCTGGGGGTGGGTGGAGGAAATGAATTCTTCTCATAAAGCTACTGAAGTTCAGAGCTAAAAACCAAAATATCAGTTGTACTCTGAGAGTCAATGCCTTATTCCCCACCCCACTCCCCCATACCAAAAGATTGTAGGTTAAAAGTCAAGAAACTGATTCTTTTCATGGTTCAAATCACAACAACTTTTACAGAAAGACAGTACCCTCCAGGGGTTTGTGAAAGAAGCCTTGCTTTCCATGTGAAGATCTTTCTTTTCCAATGCACAGACCACACTAAATCATTTCCATTTCTCACTAAGTATGAAAAAAGGAGTCTGATTTTCCTCCTCGTTCTAAAAGATCAACTTCATTGTCTTTTCCCCAAATAATAACATTTTAATCTAATAAATACATAACAAGGGATAAGAAAAAAAGAGAAGGAAATAAGGAAAGAAAAACCCAGCCTTTCTTCTCTGCACAAGCAAAATATATTTTCCAGCTCCTGACTAGAATGGCTCTTTATCCAGTTAACATTCCCCAGGCTGATGCCTGAAGTATCTAAGATCACTTTCAAATGCCCTTTCTAACAAGACCTGAGCAAGAGGCCACTAATTTTCACCGAACAAAAAGCCACTGGAGAGAGATCCGTTTGTCAATATCAACTGGTCCAGCAATTTCCCATCTTCAGACACGGAGGCCTATCTGAGCTGGCAGATGTTTAGACAAGATTTTATAAATTGTTCAATATCAGCCCATAATGAACCCCAACTGACCATTCCAAAGCAGCTAAAAGCATCCAGGATCTCCCCCGCTGGGATCCAATAATGCTCTCATGCTGGAACATTATTAATCATGGAATAAAATAGATGAGCCTCTTGAAAAATAAGTGTATGATTGATTAAAGGGCAATCTAAGAAGCCATTATTCTTGTTTTATAACCGTAAGTTATATTCACTCAATTTATCTTTGGGAAAGAAATAAATGATTGTTCATTTCTTTTCTGAAATTATATTATATTGAGATTCATATAATTTTGCTGAAAATTAAAGTGATATATTTGGTTCCTTTATGATTCTAATCTAGGAAAATATGTTACTTGACTACAAATTTCAGATATGGTTTATATGATTTGGAAAGTGGTACACAAAAAAGGGGTGCAAAAGATCAAATTGTTTTAACTTTTGAGGGTTAAAGGGGGAGGGAGAGGGAGTGGGAGTGGGGAGAGTCATTTAATAGACAATTTTACACTTCTACAAGATTCTTATACTCTGTCTACATGGACAGATTAAAAAGAAGAGTTAAGCAATTATCTAGGGAATGTGATTAATGGAGATAACCACTTTGGATAATTTAGACTTAAAAAAACATTTTTCCCCTCAGTTACTTTTATTTCCTTGTGTGTGAGCCTAGATTACCAAGATTATTGTCTCTTCTTCCAATTTTGTTTACCTAGGAGATAAAAATGTAAGCTTGAACCAGAAATAAATACATTGTGCCTCTATGATCAATCATAGGAAAGATATTTTAAAAAAATAATAATTACCTTTATAATACCAAGAAGAAAGAACATTCTTTTATGCTGGGTGAATGGAATTTATATAACTAAAAATTACTCCATATTCTTTCACTGGCAATAAATTTGTGTACACATATTAAATATATACAATATGTATATATGTGGTTCATCTACCAAAAAGTATTTTTGTAGGGGTCAAGTTTAAACCCCATACTTTATCTAGAATAGCAAAAAACACAAAATGCAGTGACTTCCATAGTCAATTTCATCACTGTTCTCTCAACCAAATTACTCTTTTAGGAAAAATGAACCCAAAACACCATATTGTTGCAGACTAGTCTGTTTTTATTTACAATTAAAGATATAAATTAGTAAAGAATTCTTGTTAAACAACCAACAAAGATTGTATAACCATCAACGTTTCAAATAAAAACCAGGCAGAATTTATTTACAAAAAGATCGGATTCCATTGCAATACAACTTGCATAAATTACTAGAAGCTTTATATCATTACAAAAATAAATATCAAATTTGTTTCCACCCTTTTAAGTACTCAAGTTCTTCAATCACATTTTATTATCTCTACTGTGTACATCTTTTACAAATAAATTTTACAGTAAATCCTATCACACCTAGAGAATATATACCGTGGCAATGAAGTGATCAATTCAAGATATCCTGAGAAAAACAGATTGTTTTCAAAAGTCACACATACATTGGGGAAACTATACTAGACCAACAAACTCACATATGTCCAACAAAATTCTGTTTTTAAGAATCAGAGTCTGTAGATTTAATAGTGCTCTGTGGGTTCTTCTTTTATACAGTGGCACAAGATGTGATTCCAGACTTAGAGATTTGTTCTATATATTAGCTCGGGGAGAGATGATGGCTTGCTGACTTTTTTTCAAAGCAATTGTGACACCTACCTGTGGACCAAGGAAAAAACCAAATCATCCAAAATCCTTCAGTTACAGCTTGTACCATTAAATTAGAAAAAAAAATAGGCATTCTAAAAAAGCTTCATCCTCTTTGTTTTCTTCATAAAAGACTCCAGACTTAAAAACTATTGTCTAACATTCAAGCGAACATAGAATATTTTCTTAAGATGCTGCTATGAATAAGGTAACATACAATATAATATCTACTCCATCTGGACATATTCCTGGATAAGCTCACTGAAACCTTATTCCTAGGTTTTTCTTCAGTTTTACTATGTAACTATCATCTATAAAAGTTACTTGGTATGGGAAGTTTAAGCAATGCTTCTCTAATCAAGCCAGCCATGCTTATTTTTAGGATTTTATGAATATTATGTGGATTTTAAATAATTAATGAATCCCTTGTCATTTTAAGGATGTAAAGTAAGACCACAGTGGCAGTTAATATAGTTTTTATAAAAATTTAAAAAATGATTGCATGTGCATATTACACATATGCATTTTTTTCTTGCAGTTGAAGAATGTGATCCTTCAAATAGAATTGGAAAAATAAAGGAAATCTATAATGTGGCTCTCCCCCTCCCCAAAGTGGGGGAAAGAATACCAGAAAAGAGCAGAATACTTTGCAATCAAACTCCATGTAATGAAGCAAGAAATAAACATTAAGCAAGTTTACAGCTGCGAAATATGTCTTGGATCGGATCCCAAATGATCAGTGTAATAGAAAATGTTCCCACTTACTCACATTCTGTCTGATTGCACTTCTATAGGTAGGGTTGTACTCCTACTGTGCAGACTTCAGTGGAATCTGTCAAAATAGAACCGTCAGTTAGTCACAGGACACAGCCAGTTAACTAGATTATACAGTGTATACCAAATCTCACAGTCGCTCCAAATACAGACTTAAGCAGTTTAGAAGACTGCTTTATCTTATCATTGAAATCACATTGAAAGTTTGAGTAAATTTCAATGTCTTCCAAATTTCATTTTTCTCTTAAAGGCCCTTAAAAAAAAAAGAAAAAATCCAAGACACTTATTCTAAGGTTTCTGAATCGATGAGAGATGAAAAAAAAAAAAAAAAAGGAAAGAAGGGAAGAGGATTTAGTTATGAAAGGAGAGAAGGGAAGAGGTTTTTGTTTTTGTTTTTGTTTTTGTTCTTTTTAAAGTTCTAAAGGTTCGTTTCCTCCAGGTTTCTGAGAGAAGGTAGTATTGTTTATTTCCTTCAGGACAAAACTAGAGCAGAAAATGATCTTAAACTCGTCAGTGGAAAGTCAGAACGATCCTGTTTTTACCAATCAAAACACACAAAAGCCTAAATGTAGCACAGTGACTGCCCAGGGGCTCTAAGTTTAATTTGCATTTCGTTCTAACTTGTCACCCCTGGAACTTGCAAAAAAACAGCTGAGGTGATTTCAGAAAACAGGCTGAGAATCTTTTCATTTTCTTATTTCAACCAGATCTGGTGAGAGATTTGAAAATATGCACCTCTTAAAACAATCTTTAAGATCAAATGAATGTTGAATCTTATCAGTTTTCTTTCCCACTCCTAGGAGGAGAGGTTCCTTTATATGACCTCATTTCACAGGACCACAGATCTCAATCTGCTTTGGTCCTTCCTCTCCTTCCCCCCCCAACCTCCTCCCCAACACACACACACACACACACACACACACACACACGCACACACACACCTTTTGTGTTAGCATTCTTTAACTAAGGAAGAGCTTGTGTATGTATTTTTTCCCCAGGAGTTATTTTGCCTTTAGCAGGAAAAGAAAGAAGCAAT